TATATATATATATATATATATATATATATATATATATGAAGACGAACAATTTGGAATACTCCTACACACAAAAGACAATGGTTAAACATCGGAAAACATAAGGAAATTAATTTCTTTTTTATAAAATACGGAAATAACCACAATTTGCCTGATGAAGTTCGCAAAACCGGAAACTCGTGTAGCAAAAATATGGAAGATAAAGTATAATATATATTTTAAAAATCCACATTATAAGTAAAAAAAAACGTTTGCGGCTTCTCTCCTGTCTTTAAAATATACACTTTTCTCTCGTTTGAACAAATGTAACATCTATAATCTCTCCTTTATATATATATATATATATATATATATATATATATATATATATATATATATATATATTGTATACAACCTTGTTGATCAAGATCATAGAGTGTGTCCTAACCATGGACGCTCTCAAATACAATAATTTTACTTAACTGAAAAATCTCTCACAGATGGCGATGGAAACTGCGATAGTTAACATTATTTGAATGGCAATGCTACGATTGAGGAAGACAGTCTCATCTCTATACTGAACAATAAATTCGAGAAGCTCTTCAAGTTTTGATAATTTCATGTCGGCCCGAATTGATAGCAACATTCTTCAATCCAAAATTTCTTCATATATCTACTGTCCATCAGCAGAAATTCGCCCAGATTTTTCGCACTCCTCTCGACATCAAGAAGGAAACCAATCTTGGTATCTGTGTCGGGCAAACGACCGAACCTTTCATCCATTTCTCTGGGTTTTTTTTGGTTTTTTTTCTTCTTTTACTGTTCTGTATTCCAGAATCTTTCGAGTTCTCATCAGCCATTTGTTTGTTTCCTTTTTCAACTTCAATATTCCATTGCTGACAGAGTCCCAGTCCTACTTCAAGTGACTCACACGTCTCTATCAAAATGTTCTTGGAGGGTTTTCAAATCCAAGCCAGAATCCTGGAAGTTCATGCTAGCACTTCGCAGCCTCTTGTGAATACGGCCAATACGAATGAATGCTTCGTTCCAAAATCTTAGCAAAGTCAGAAAATCGTAACTCAATGTGCAACTGTACAGCTGCATTGTGTCCCTTCTTGTATCGCTTGTCTCGTTTTCATTGTCTATCATGACCTGGAGAACTTGAGGTATCTCCTCAAGGTACTTCTTGATGGGTTTCACAGATTCTGACTTAATAACCACTGACACGGCGCTATGAGTGTTAATGCTTTTAGATCCATCAAATATGTAACATATTTACTGGACCTAAATCTATACCCGCTTATGTCAGTAGCAACAAAAACTCAATGACCTTCCACAGCATGATCAGTTTCGTATAGGGCAAAAGGGTAACTCAAATGGTGCTGAGAAAAATAATAAACTGACTGATAAGTATGAGGCAATTTAGTGCAGGTATTACATTATCTTCGCTGGTGTATTGCATCATCGTCTTCGGTGTATTGCGTCACCTTTAGAATCAATGATGCAATAATACAATAGCAAAGATCACAGAATACACTATAATATCTGTATAATAAATTTGTATAATAAAAGTGATATATATAAAAGTGAACATAGAAGTCAACACTTAGAAGCGACAGTCTGTTTCATGCTAGACGCAATCGTCAGGCCACCTCAAGGACGTGCCATGTTTGTGCCTTGTGTCCTCAAGGCTAAAGGCGTTAGTTAGATCCAGTGACAGGACCAAAGTTCAATACCTGGTTAAGGCGGTGGAGAACTTGGAGAGGGGAATTAACAGGAGATTACTGACAACTGACATCCATTAGACCTGGCACGTGGAACTAGAACAATCTACCCCAGCAAGCGAAATAAAGGGTTCAGTTCCACATTCCAGCCACCTGGAGGAGGCCGGAGCGTACAACGGCCGAAACGTTGTAGTAAGTATTGCGACAAAGATGAGGACAATACTCCGAATAATGTAAATAGCGTATATAATACTTCATCTCAGAAATATAGACAGATAGTGAAAAATCATGTTGAAAGTATATATCTGCTTGCAAATGCTGTAGATCCGGCCGATCAAAACTTCTTTGTAAATATTTGAGATCGACTGATTTGTTGTTTAATTTTACAGCTTATTAATCCTTTCTTTTTTGTTGTTCCAAGGAAATATTGTATGAACAATTCTTTTTGTGATAACAGTGATTTTTTCCATATACATGTTGTACTTTTTAATCCATAGCGGGGAAGAAGAGATGGATTCATTACTTTCCCAATGCCATTTGTGCGTTTGAATGTAATTAACTCGAATGAAATCGAAATCTCAAAAATGTGGCACATGAGTACATCAACAATTCCAGTTGTAATTGAAACCCTCGGATTGATTGAAAAAGATTCCAGTAGACTTATTGAAGAGATTCCTGGTAGCCTATACCAAAGATTGTTCTCATGAGTACAGCCCTTACGAAGGGCTTTATCTATGTAAAATATGTGTGATTTTTTTTTCAGAATTGCTCAGTGGAAAATGCCATGCTTCCATTTCTGATATTAGGTCTCTGGTGGGGACCCAGAAAGAAATGAGTATCCACCAGAAATCAAAGAAAATATAAATAATAATAATAAATAATTTACCTGTTTACACCGTACCTCGATGTTACCCAGGTAGAATCTGTCCTTAATGTAACCGTATAATGTTGAAAGGCGTAAAATTATCAATGAAACCAGTATTTATATTACTGATAAGGCACCTCATATATCTTTACAGTATATATGAAGCAGAAGGACTTGCTTTTGCGTTTTAGTTAAAGTTTAACTTATCTAGGAAATATATGTTCACGAATCTTTTTTAGCTGAAAGAATTTCCGATTTTCATTTAACCCCCCCCCAACACCATTTAGCAGAAAGTAGAGTTCTCGGTGACATTGTAATATCTAACGATATTATGAACCGATAGTATTAGGAGCACGAGGATTCACCGGGCAAAGCTTTAGAAATCATCGGCATAAGCGAATTAGTTAAAATGAAAGCCAATAGTTCCCTCATCGGCTGCTGGGGTGTTTTCAAAGTCATTATGGATCAAACGGGGAAAAATAAATAAATATACTGAAAAAAAAATCGATTCTGATGAATAGAATTTCAGTTTGAAATATTCCACAGAGTATGTCAGAGTATTTTGCTGACTGGAAATAGTAAATTATAAATCCTTTCGCTTTCAATTAAAGCTAAAATGAAAGTTTCTTTTCTTTTCTTTTAAATTTAATTTAAACCTTGAGTATACCAAATTAGTGGAGATACATATTTTCATAGAAATCAACAGTAAGACGAAGCAAAGGCTAGTCACAAATTAATAATGAAGTACATCATCTTAGAATTCAACAATCTTTATATATATATATATATATATATATATATATATATATATATATAAAGAGTAATATAGAAAGAAAGCAATAAAGAGAGAACACAGTCCTACTCTCTAACGATCTTCTGTCCATAACAAAATGGCTATTCGTTCTTAAAATTAAAGTGGCAAGAGTTTCTGCGAATGGGTTTTTATACAATGAGGTAGTAAAAGTGTTGTTATTGTATTCTAAGAGAACGTCTATGAATGGGAGTTTATTTTTTTAACTTAGTTTGTAGAAAAAGATAAGGACATAGTTTTTCAAATGCCGTTTTGAGAGTGTCTATTTCTTTTGTGTTTTTCCGCTAAAATAAAAATATCGTATATGTAGCGGACATATATTTTTGGTTTACAGCCCTGTTGAAATATCATGTTTACTACATGAGACATGTAGTAATTGGAGAAGTACGGGCCGAGCGGATTTCCCATACTAACACCGTTAGTTTGATTGCAGATGTTGCCATTATGATCGTAGAAGGAAACTTTGATTGTGCATGCTTGTAATAATCTTTAGAGAATATTTGGTTTGAGAGTTGGAGGTGGAATAGAATTATTTGCGTACACGGATAATATCAATGGTTTGATCAACGGAGACGTTTGTGAATAATGTTTTAACGTCGGGTGGCGCTAAAATACCTTAGATTGGTTTTGTACTTTTTAAAATTTGGACGAATTCATGGGTGGATGTGATGCTGTAATTGGTGGGTAGGTATTGGATAATGATGTCATTAAGGAATTTTGATTGCTCGTAGATAGGTGTTGGGATCTGGGAAATGATTGGTCCTAGCGGGGATCCGGATTTGTGTATTTTTATATATAGGTATAAGTATCCAGCATGGTAGTCTCCGATGATTTGGGATTTTCAAGGTACCGACGTCAGCGTTATTCGATGTTTTAAGTTTCTTGGTGGGTCGTTTTAGGTTCTCCGTGGGGTTTTTGTTTAATTTGGTGAATTTAGTCCGGTCATCGATGATGTTTTGACATTTTTTATGGTAATCAGCTTTATCCAAAATTACATATGTGTTAGCTTTGTAGGCTCGTCTGATGACAATGTTAGGATTGTTTTTTAGTTCTTTTCCATCGATTTTTAGTATAAAAGTATAGACGAAAGCGCTCGGAATTACAGAACATTTGGACAGGTTTTACACACTCTGTGTCCAGAAAAGAAAACACTTGTTCGAACACAAGAAAAATTAAATAAAAAGCTTAACATGTTTGTCGTCTTTAATGAAACATGTATAAAAGAGAGATTGCTGCCTAAATACACAATACACACACACACACACACACACACATATATATATATATATATATATATATATATATATATATATATGAAACTAGACAGCATATAATGTGCATGCATTTAATTATACCCATTTGTTGGAAATTATGTGTTTCTACTGACAGTTGAAATTTATAAGGATTGTCATGAGAAAATATATGGAACCGAAGAGGCATTGCTAACATGTCGTTTGGCGTCTTCGTGGTCTACTTGAGCAGTAATTACATGCAAAGGGACAATCGAGAAAAGCAGGGGAAAAAAAAGAAATTAGCTTCAGGAAAATCCCTTTCCAAGCGAATTTAATAGAAAACCCATAAATCCGAGTAAATATCGACACATAAATTGTTGTAACAGCCATTCATGATTTCTTCTTTCTTTCCTCACGTTATTTCCCCTGGCCTTCTCTCATCCAATTGTCCTTGGCCTTCTCTCATCCAATTGTCCTTGGCCTTCTCTCATCCAATTGTCCTTGGCCTTCTCTCATCCAATTGTCCTTGGCCTTCTCTCATCCAATTGTCCTTGGCCTTCTCTCATCCAATTGTCCTCTTTCTTGTCTTATCTCTTCGATTAGGACACCAAGATCTTAGTTTTAATTTTAGCCATTAATTTACTTGATATCTTATTTTAATTCATATCTATCTATCTATCTATCTATCTATCTATCTCGGGTGTCTTTATCTATCTATCTAACTATTTCAGCTTTCATCTCTCTCTCTCTCTCTACACACACATATATATATATATATATATATATATATATATATATATATATATATATATATATAAAACATAAAATGTCTTAAAATATACATATATATATATATATATATATATATATTTCAGCTTTCATAGCTATCTATCTTTCTCCGGGCTTCTTATCTATCTATCTATCTATCTATCTATCTATTTCAGTTTTCATGTCTATCTATCTATCTATCTCTCTCTCTCTCTCTCTCTCTATATATATATATATATATATATATATATATATATATATATATATATATATATATATTTCAGCTTTCATATCTATTTATCTATATATCTCTATACATAGCTATCCATTTCAGCATTCATATCTATATATCTACCTTTCTCCCCTCTCTCTCTCACACTCTCTCTCCCTATATATATCAATCGAATTTATATCTCTCTCTCTCTCTCTATATATATATATATATATATATATATATATTGGTCTGTTCATATCTCTCTATTTATCTATCAATATATTAATTTCAACCTTAAGTTTTCTCTCTATCTCTCTCTCTCTCTCTCTCTCTATATATATATATATATATATATATATATATATATATACATGCCCAAGTATATGATTGGTGTATACGGAATAAATTCCAATAACCAACAACTACTATTCTTAAAAGAATGATCAATACAGAGTAAAGCGAATATAATTATTTATTTTAAAATTATAACATAAATATGTTATAAAATCACTACAAAAATAGCCATTTTGTTTCAACACCTCCGGTGTCTTATCAAGTGATGATGTTGAATGTAGATTGTAGAATAAAGGTTTTAAAAGGTTCAAATTAATTAACCACCCCTCGTAAGGGGAAACGCTGTCACATGAGCTGAAATGACCATTCAAAATACAACTATACGAGAATTCAAAAAACTTGACAACGAAGTAAGGTTATAATAACTATTAAATGCTTTAAAGTTAGGTTTATACTAAAATAGAATTTATTCCAACTAATAAGTATTAAATTGTACGATAAAATTTGAAATTAAAATTAAAAACTATCCATTTCAAAAATGTAAATTTAATCTATATTAAGTTTAAAATTTTAAAATTATTGAGGAAAAAAGAAAAATACATATGTTATTCTATTCATTTTGTTTCTATTGAAATTACGCTGGAATAAACGTTAAGATCGACTGCCCTTAACTTAATAAGATACATGTGATATTTAACTCCCCATCCCATTATTACATCTTGGCACAAGGCAATTTAAACACAATCAGATTATAATACATAAGCTCGACCAACATATTTAGATACATAAAAAATTGAACCCGTATATATTTGGGTCCTTTTACAAATAAATACATATACCCACATACATTGACATAACATCCGGATAATCCTTCCGAAATATTCAAAGCAGAAGTGTTAGAAACGAATTCTAACAACATATTAAAATATACAAATGTATACATAGGATAATGACATAATAGAACAGTGATACAAACAATAATCAAGGATTATAATATATATAAGCACGCAAAATAACATATTTAGATATATACAAACAAAAAATATTCGAGACACAAATATTTGCACTAATTGTACATTTTCAAAAAAAAAAAAAACCACATACATACACAATGAAATGTGCATTCAATTTACTATACACAGATACCGAAAAAAGATAACGTACATATACAAACATATATTGACATGGACACTCTATATAACATACAAGAAATATTATAGATTGAAGATGTTATTAAACACATTCGGCATAACCACATATTAAAATATAACACATACGAGCCAATATACATATATAAAAATGGTCTAATAAAAAAGAGAAACAAACAAATATAAATAAATATACATTATACAAAGAAAATACGAACTATCTATATATATATATATACAGTGTACATACATTCATCACTACAGACAGAATCTTAAAAAGCCAATATAGACAAACATATACAAATATATATACATATACATGCATATATACATATATATATATATATATACACATATATATATACACATACATATATATATATAAATATATTAATAACTATAAAAATAAACAAACCAAATATAAATATATAAATACATATAGATATATAAACCTACACATATTCAGAACTAAGCCATCTACTTTTGGCTTATTAAACCTACTAGACCAGAAATAATTTTAAATGAACAAGTAAAAAATTATCTTGGAAAGAACCAACCAATCCATAAAAAAGCATCCTTTGGACTCTTACAGTGGATTAATACAGCTGATGTTATCAACTGGTTTACTAATATCCGATATAAGGACACCTGTACTTTCATTCAGTTCGATATTATCGATTATTATCCTTCTATATCGAAGGATCTGTTCACTTTGGACAATTTGAGTTCGCTCGGGAATACTCCAATATTTCTGAAAGTGAAGTGAATATTATTATGAAATGCCGAAATTCTGTTCTGGTCTATAATGAAGAACAGTGGACCAAAAAGTCTTGCAGCGAGAATTTTGACATTTCAATGGGTTCCTTGGATTCTGCAGAAGCTTCTGACTTGGTTGGATTATTTCTTTTGTATAATTTAAGTGCCTTTGAGTGTTTAGATTCTGATAGTGTAGGATTATATAGAGATGACGGCTTATTAGTTGTTAAAAACTCTACTAAAATTAAGGTGGACCGTATTAGGAAAATGATTCATAGGGTATTTAAGGATTTAGGTCTTAGAACTATAGTTACAACTAACGTTAAACAAGTAGATTTTCTGGATGTCACCCTAGACCTTACTAGCAACACTTTCCAACCATATGTGAAGGTTAATTCCAACCCAATATACGTGCATCCAAATTCCAACCATCCCCTTCAGTTATCAAACACATACCCTCCTCCATTGGATTTAGGATTAGTACTAACTCTTCTAACAAAGATGTTTTTAATAAACATCGTGATTTTTACAATTCTGCCCTTAAAAATAGTGGATACAAAGATACCACTATTCAATATAGAAACCCGGTGAATTACAACCATAATAAGAAAAAAAGATCTAGAAAGATCATTTGGTTTACTCCCCCTTTCAATATAATGGTTAAAACTAAATTAGGATGTATATTTCTAAACCTCATCAAGAAACATTTCCCCAACCCAGAAACTAACCCACTTAGTAAAATATTTAATCCTAATACCCTGAAATTAAGCTATAGTTGTGCGAATAACCTAGAGAAAATAATTAAAAAACATAACAACAGAGTCTTTAACAAGTATAGGGACTCAAAAAACTTGATTACTCACCAGGTTGCAAGCAGCACTACTAAGTATAATGACACGAATAACAACTTGTGCAATTGTAGGAATCCAAATAATTGTCCACTACAAAATAATTGTTTGACTAGTTCTGTAGTTTATCTTAGTACAATCTCTACACTAGAAAACCCAAATATAAAAAAATTCTACATTGGTAGTACCATGAATCCATTCAAGGAACGTTGGCGGGGGCATATGCAATCTTTTAATAACAGTAATTATAAGTACATGACTTCATTATCCAAGTATTTTTGGAGTCTAAAAGAAAAGAATAAAACACCTACTGTTAAATGGAAATTAATCAGGAAAGCCCGGACATGTAACTCCCTATATGCCCCATGTTATCTTTGTCTTAACGAAAAATTTGAAATAATTAGATTTAAAAATAAGACCCATCTCTTAAATCAAAGATATGAACTAACAGTTAACTGTAAACACCGTTATAAATTTAACTTATTATAAGGGTTGTAATACTTTCAATGATAATGATATGTCATTGTAAATTTAATAGGTTATTATTTTTATTACCTGATGGTCCTCCTGTTGATATGGTTGTGTGTTGGTATACATATACTGTGTTGTTCATATCTGTGTGTGTGTGTATGTGTATGTGTGTGTGTTTTTCTGTACTGCTGGATGTGTATATATATATATATTTATATATATATATATATATATATATATATATATATATATATATATATATATTAAAAGTAAGTAGGTAAAAAAGAGGAGAAAAGGAGAGGATATAAAAATATATATATATATATATATATATATATATATATATATGTATATATATATATATTTATATTTAAATATATTTCTATTTACGTACTTCTGTATGTATGGATATGTTTATGTATGTATGTAGGGATACATGTATATATGTATGTATGTGTATATGTATATATATATATATATATATGTATATATATGTATGTATTTATGTATGTATATGTATATATATATATATATATATATATGTATATATATATATATATATTTATATATATGTATATATATATTATGTGTGTATGTGTTTTATGTGTGTGTATACATATATCATATGTGAGCTTGTTTATGTGTATATATGTATATTTTTTTTTATATATATATTAAATTTATATGTGTGTATACATGTATATGTATATATATATTGTATATATATATATATATATATATATATATATATATATATATATATATATGTATATATATATATATATATATATATATGTATATATATATATATATATGAGTATTTATATATATATATTGTATATATATATATATGTATTATATATATTTATATATATATATATATTTGTATATATATATATGTATTTTATATTTCCTCTCTATATGTATTATATGTATATCTATTGTTTGGGTATATATATATATATGTATATATATATTGTATTTAATATATATTTGTGTATTTGTTTATATTTTCAATAATCAACATTTATCATATTGTTACATTTTAACATTCATATTTTATAAATGTATTTTATTTAAACTTTGGATATTTGTTGGAATATATATATGTATTTTATATATATATTTATGTGTTTCAAATATATCATATATGTCTATATTGTTGTGTTCTATCTATCTATCTATCTATTTCATTTCAAAATCTTTAAAATTCTATTATATATATATATATATATATATATATATATATATATATATATATTTATATATATTTTTATATTTTCATATGATTTATCTATATTTTCTATTTGTTATATTCATATCTATATATAAAGAATGTAATATATCATCTATTAACTTTCTGTATTTATATATATTTAAATTCAATGGAATTCTACATCTTATATATAAAAATATATTTGTTTATATATATATATATTTTCTA